AACACATTTAACCACTTAGAGCAACTGAAATGCAGACGTACACAACATGAAATTACCGCAATTTAAATGGGAAAAAGGGCACCTATTGAAAAAATTCTATTGTTTTCATCATGGAAGGTATCCCAAAAGATTTGAACTTCTAGGCTCTGTAATTACTTGAAGGTTGAATGTGTTCTGCGCCAAGAACTCGCTGTAATTGGACTCTAATGCCCCTATAGGGAGGTTAATTCGTTAAATATGACCGTCAGTACTTTTAACTGTTAGGCACCTCTTTTACCAACGTCACACCTGATATAAAGGTTGTCACTAATCAGTAACTAAGCGAGCTGATTAGCGGAAATCTTTAGCTTTGGCTTTTTTTAGCTTTTATGACTAAACGTACATTTCAAGTGAGGCTTGGTAAGACTTTTTCAAATGTCAGAGCAGCATCCAGTGGAGTTCCCCAGGGCTGCGTCCTGTCACCGATATTGTACAATATTTATACATACGAACTTCCTAGACTAGTTGAGAATGCAGCAGTCCACTGCAAGGTGTTTGCCGATGACATGAAAATTTATAGGTCCGTTTCAGATGCGAGTGATTCGAACATCATCCAAAATGCTATTGATGTAGTCAGCGCGTGGTCCAAGCGGTGGGGACTTCCGATTGCGCGTGAGAAAACATCTGTCTTACATCTCGGTCCTGGCCAGAGCTCCTATACCTATCACATTGACCGAACTGAGCTTAGGAAAGCTCAAGAGGTAAAGGATTTGGGGTTTATTGTTGATGATAAGCTGACCTTTAAACGGCATTGCACAATCATAGCAAATAAAGCAGAGCGGCGGACCTATCAACTTTTAAAGAGTCTCTTAACGAAGGATCCTTGTGTACTTCTTCAAGCATACAAAACTTATATTCGCCCTGTTCTGGAGTACGGCACTACCATTTTCTTCCCTAACTTTAAAAATGACGTCAGAAAACTGGAAACAGTCCAAAATAGTTTCACGAGGAAGATTTTGATTCGCCAAGATGCTGGGCCTAGACTCACTCTCGTACAGACGTAAGATGTTCGATCTCATTACTGTTTACAAGATATTCACAGGAAAGCTAAGCCTCAAGTTTCAAGATTTTTTTACCCTCCGCAACTCAATTACCAGGGGAGAGAAGAATAAGCTCGTAGTTCCCAGGTCCAAAACAAGGGTGAGGACTAAATTTTTCGCAATAAGGGCAGCCACTCAGTTTTCCAAATTGATGAAATCATCCACGCTACCGAAAAATATTGCTCAGTTCAAAAATCTCTTGCACCATCATTTCAAGTGAGGCTTTTTTTCTTTACTTATTTCTCTTAGTATCGGCATCGGAGGCCACTAAGCTAACTTTCAGTTTTGTACTATGCTCGCTATGTTGTATTGTTCTTTCTGTTGTTGTATCTCAAGTGTTGTGGTGGCCATTTCGAGGCCTATGTCACTAGCACGTAGTTTTACACTAGGAACGCATTGTTCATTTCTCATGTGTTGACCCACATGCAATAAATCTAAATCTAAATCTAAATCTTTGTTGTTTGTGTAACGCACAGTAGAGCATGATCGATAACATTCACTCCGTCATGGGCGAAAGCCAAACCCAGACGGAGTTCTCTCGCTGCGTAATCCACCGCTCTTACTCTCAGCTCGATACTTTTTGTGCCATTGCCTCCCAGCACTAGCACGTTTAACGTGGTGGCCGTAGTGCAGAGGCCAGGTTCGTGCACTCCCACCGTCTTTACCTTGTCGTGTTCCTCTCCTCCTTGCTCCTTAGGGAGGGGAGTTTCCTAAAGGATCACAGTTGAAGGTTGATAGGGCAGAGTGCCAAACTTTGAAAAAATTTGCTTGCTTCACACCACCCTCATTGAAGAAATCCCTCATCGCTGAGGATACGCCGTACGGTCCAAAACCTTCTCTTTTTTTTCTGAGGTTCGTTACTTTTTTCTTGTACTCAGTCTCAAATTCTCTGCTCCATCGTTGAAGTCGCGAACCATTTAGCCTCTCTCACACTTTGCAACTTTCCTGTGCCCACAGAAGGTGTCGAGCATTTTTGCGAGTAGTTAGCTGTGATTAGTTCTACGCTAACCTTTTTAACCTGGACATGACAGTGATTGAAGCAGCTTCTGTAGTTTTCCAAGAAAGCAAGGTGGAAGCTCTCCATAGTGTTGTTTTAGACGTGCCTTCCACCCCACTGTTTATAGCTGTCTCAGATATAATGCTCACCATTGAAATAAATTAGGCATATCAATACACAACAAAAGCAGCATTCACTTTTATTCTCGAACCCAGAAGAAAAGCATCAAGTTCAGTACTACGCAATGTATCTCCGGAAACGTCTTCTTCCTTTCGCCTGAAAAATGTTTTTGGATGCACTGTTCGCAAGTGACGTCGTCAAAAGTTCTGAACAACTGTCCTGAACAACAGGAACAGAATATGACAATGGACCTGCCTTTAGTCAACTCCTGAAGCCATATCGCAAGCGACCGAGTAAGTTGTACTATTTTAAAGAAATCTATGGCTACGAAAAAACAGACCAGTGTTTTTTTTTCTTAATTTAACGCAAGGGGCTGGGATGAAGGAAGCCCATCCGTAGCGGGAGGAGAGTGCACCAAAGCAGGCGGGGCTAAACTCAGAAATTCCACGTGTTGGTCACAGAGCCAAGTGCCCTACAGAAAGATTCGTAGTGTAGAACGTACTGCTCTCAAAGAGCAGAATGGAACACCATTCTTCTAGAACAAGAACTGTCAAATAAGAAAAAAATTAAAAGCGACATAAAGAGATGGGAATTTTCATGGCTCGTTCAAAGTATCCACGGGATCCATCCCAGTGCTTCTTTGGAAAGCACGCCGTAAACAAGCGCAGGACCATGGCTCCAAAGACAACTCATGCGGATACGGTTGTGCAACGTTGACATTGTCGCGCGACTGGCCACGGACAACTTGAACTCAATCCCTTTGAACGCGTCGATCTTCTTTTTCTCTGCACTCTCTCGTCCGCATGGCACTCTATGGCCGTTGTGACTTCGCTCACTCCAGCTTTTCACCGACTATAAGTAGCTCACCCACCTCGGAGTCCCCTCCCCTTGAATCCTGTTTCCTGACTCGTTTTTTGCACGTTTCGATGCTTTGGCAGCCGCTGCCCTCTATCCGTCTGCGTCACAGGGTTTCGTAACAGGACCATGCACAAAAGTTCAAGATGTCACGTCCGACTGGCCACGGGTCTACCGACAACTTGAACTCAGTCCCTTCGAAAGCGTCGCTCTTCTGTCTTTCTCTGCGCTCTCTCGTCCGCTCTATGGCCGTTGTGACTTCGCACATTCCAGCTTTTCACCGACTATAAGTAGCTCACCCACCCCGGAGTCCCCTCCCCTTGAAAAAGCCCGTTTCCTGGCTCGCCATATGTTTCTTGCACGTTTCGATGCTTTGGCAGCCGCTGTCCTCTATCCGTCTGCGTTACAGGGTTTCGTAACAGGACCATGCACAAAAGTTCAAGATGTCACGTAACCTTGTAAGAGAGGAAAATGGTAAGTGTTGGCGAAATACCCCCACGGTCTTAAGATAAGCCCCACAGATATCTCCAAATGTTCCTTCTACTAGGCATGGTCTTCCAATTCACGCTTTCAACGCTTTTTTCAAAATCATTTGATGCATTCTGTAGATTCTGAGCCAGCAAGGGCCCACAAAGTTCTAGTCCGCTTTCTGCCAAAGCTAAAATGTAGTGAATCAGAAGGTTGAGGACTGCAACAAAGTTATGCCGCATAGTAGAGTAATTCATAAAAGAACTTGCTTGATGACCTT